AGATTACAGCCAAGAAAACCTTATGGGGCAGTCCTACTGTCACATGGAGTCGCTGTGAGTTAGAATCCACTCAATAGCACCGAACAACAATGCCTCGCTGGGGCACCTGCCGGAGCTCCCATCACACAAACTGAACTAGAGGTGCCACAAAAAGGCACACAACTGTGGAACACAAGCCAGGGGTATGAGAGGCCTGGGAGCAGGGTGTCTTCTAATCCTGAGACCACACTAATCCCCAAAGGTTTTATTTAAAACACACGATGACTTTACCAGCATTTACGACTAGGGCCAGACAGGTGGCCAATAGCCTCAGGCTTCCATCTCCCTTCAGGGGGAATTGGAGCGTAGCCTCACTCTCCATGCTCCAAGCTGCCAGTGATTGCTTGGATGGCAATCCATGACGTGCTTTTGGTATGACAAGAGGGCTGGGTTTCACACCCAGTGTCTGCTTCTGTCCATGCTACTGGAATCTGTGTGCCCTGGGACAAGTCTGCATCTGCCCACAGCCTCCCCATCAGGAGGATGTCCAGAGTAGAGCAGATACTCTGTGAGGTCCATCCCAACAGTAAAGTGCTGATTGTGTCTTCTTGATATGGAACTTATCTCTCCAGGTGAAAAGCTGTTCTTAGCTGCCGTCGAGTTGGCCTCTGACTCACGGAGACCCCATGCGCAACAGAACAAATCACTACCTGGTCCTGCACCAACCCCATAATTGTTTGCAGATCGGTCTGCTGTGATCCGTGGGGTTTTCACTGGCTGATTTTAGGAAGTAGATTGCCAGGCCTTTCTTCCTAGTCTGTCTTAGTCTGGAAGCTCTACTGAAACCTGAAAAATAGGTCTAAACAAATGCTGGGTCCCAGGAATGACAACATTAATCTGGTCATGAGTTCCCATCCAAGTGTTCCAACTTTTCCCTTGGAGCAAAGTTCTTTCTATGTCACAGCAACTAAAATGCCTGCGCACCTACCAACCCTGGTGAGAAGCTGCAGGGGATATCGTGCCTACCCTTTGACCAAGTGGCATCAAAGGCTGGCCCCACCCAGTAACTTGTCAGGAAAATGATGCACTGAGCTAGTTCTGTGCCAAACACTGGAGATTCTCAAATCAGAACTGCCTAAAGAACTCTTCCAACAAATATGCATGCCCTGGCTGCCGACCCAGGGGTCTGACTCCATTGGCCTGGGTGGGGTCTGGACATCTGAATTTTGTCAAGAAGCCAAAGACAATACTGATGTGCACCCTAGTCGGAAACCAGCACACTAAGTGATTTTGGATTCTACCATCTTTTCAAAGACTGGGGATTTCCAAAGTTCTCCTGAGAGAAGGGAACAGAAAAGTTCATAAGAACTGCAGGGGATGAGGGTAGGGGGACTGAGCCCAGGGCTGGCTACCACAGAGTCAATTAAAACAAAAAAAAGTTACTGTCGAGTTAATTTCAACTTATGGCAACTCCACGTGGGTCAGAGTAGAACTGTGCTCCATATGGTTTTCAGTGACTGACATTTTGAAGGTGAGCAGTTCTTTCTTCCGAGGCGCCTCTGGATGGACTCAAACCACCAACCTTCTGGGTACCAACCGGACCATTTGCACCATCCAGGGACTCCCCACGGGGTCAATGGACTAGCCATATTCATGGTTTTGTGTTTCTGGACCAGATCACTCTTTCTAAACACCTTTGTTCTCAGGTTATCTCCCGCTCAAACGCCATGAAAGGCTTCCTTTGTATGTGGCAACGTTCTAAACTCCTTAGTCAGGCATTGAAGGTACCTTACAGGTTTGGCCTCAAACCATCTTCCCAGACTTAGAATCTATGCAAGGAGCCCAAACTGAAAGAGATCATCCCCACTAGATTGCAGGTTCCATGAGGACAAGGAGGGACCTTGTCTGTCTTGTTCACCTTGTGAACTAGAACCTGATCAAGATCCACAAGAGCAGGGACTGAGAACAGGGTCTGGCTCAAGGTGGGTGCTCACGATCCCCACCACTGGCCATCTAATTCCTCTCCTTTTTTTTCACATGATTAGTCAGGCCAGACCCTTCCTTCCGCCTCATATCCCCTCAGCCCTGGAGGCCATTAATTGGTGAACAGTTCCTACATCCCCAGCCCCGCCTGTTCCTCTCTGTTGCACTGACTTTATTCTTACCACACTCAGCTTTATACTGCATTATTTTGGACTCCCTGAGGCCAGGGGGTGTGCTTTATTCAGCTGTCAACCCTCAGCGCCTCAACACAGGGCCTGCAGCCACCAGGTGCTCCATCAGTGTTGGTGAGGACTGAGGGGCCTGACCTGGGCTGAGATTCCTCCCAGTGGAGTCCTGTGTGGTTTTCACCCCCAGCGACTCCACTCTACGGAAGACAGCACTCTGGAGCCCAAAAAGGAGAGGATGTGCCTGAGAAAGTAAGTGTCTCTGCTACCTTTGCGCTTCTGCTCCGGGAAGCAGTATTCATTTTAGTATTTAAAAACAAGGACTCTGGAGCCAGCTAGTCTAGGTTTGAAATCCATCTCCACCACTTCCTGGATCTATGACCTTTCACAAGTTGTTTGGTGTGCTTCAGTGTCTTCATCTGTAAAATGAGGATATTAATAAAACCAGTTGCCGTCGACTCCTACTCATGGTGACCCCACGTGTGTCCGAGGAGAACTGGGCTCCATACAGTTTTCAGTGGCTGATTTTTCATAAGTAGATTGCCAGGACTTTCTTCTGAGTTGCCTCTGGGTGGACTCAAACTTCCAACCTTTGGTTACCAGCCGAGTGTGTTAGTCATTTGCACCACCCAGGGACTCTGGCAATATTAATGGTCCCTACTTTGTAGCAATGATGTAAAGATGAAAATGTTATAGATGTAAAATACTGGGAACAATGCCCAGCACATAGCATTTGCTCAATAAATGTTTTGTTGTTGTTAGTGTGATGCACCTAGATGAGCAGAGCGCGCTCCATAACCTCCTGGGATCCAATGGTAGTCAAAGACGTAGGTTCCGAGCTTCGAGGTTCTTAACACCCACTGAATCACCCAATTGTAATTGTTCAGTTGCCCCTCTTTCCTGCTAGATTTTGTGCTTCCATTTCCTCAGGAAACTGAGGCACAGCGAGGTCATAGAGCCAGAGCTCCACCCAAGTAAAACCCCGGTCAGCCTGGCTCATGCTGTATCCCTGGGCCTCGCACGGGGCCTGGCCGCAGTCAAGTTGGAGCTCCATAGACCTGTCTGCTTCCTGGTGTCCCTGTTACACCCTTGCCCTCTAGAGTCTCTTCTCCACACAGCAGCCACAGTGCTCCTGTTAAAACCCAGGTCAGAGGATATCACTACTGAGCTTGACATTTTCCAGTGCTTTCCATCTCATTCAGATAAAAGCCAAACCCTTACAGAGCCCGGAAGAGCCTGCACCTTGTGGCCTCTATTTACCTCTCTGGCCTCACTTCCTACGCTCCCTTCCACATTCCCCCAGCCCTGACTTGGCTCGTGGCTCATTGGCAGCTCCCGAAACACGCCAAGCAGCCTCCTACTTCCAGGTGTTAACACTGGCTGTTCCCTTTGCCTGGAATGCTCTTCTCCCAGATAGCCTCATGCCTGCCTCGCTCTCCTGCTTTGGGCCTTTGTTCAAAGATAAGCCTCTCAGAGAGTTTTTCCCTGATAAACCAAAAAAACAAAAACAAAAACCCACTGCCGTCAAGTTATTCTGACTCATAGCGACCCTATAGGACAGAGTAGAACTGCCCCATACGGTTTCCAAGGAGCACCTGGTGGATTTGAACTGCCGGCCTTTTGGTTAGCAGCCATAGCTCTTAACCACTACGCCACCAGGGTTTCCTTTCCCTGAAAATCCTACTCAAAATTGCAATCTTGCCCCACCCTACCCTCTATATCCTCCTTCCCAGATTTATTTTTCTCCCTAACATCCATTACCTTATCATATACTTTATAATTTACTTATTACTATACATTTCCCTTACTATACTTACTGTCTGTCCTCCCGACTACCCCCACACACTAGAATATAAACTCCACGAAGGCAGGGATTTGTTTTGTTCACTGTTGTACCCCCAATGCCTGTGGTAGGTATTCAGTAAGTATTTGGATGGATGGACGGATGAATGGACAGACAGGTGGATGGATGGATGGATGGATGGATGGATACATGGGTAGGTGAATGGATGGACGGACAGATAATGGATGGATGGATGGGTGGATAGATGGACAGATGGACAGATGGAGGATGGATGGGTGGATGGGTGGATGGACCGACAGACAGGTGGGTGGATGGACAGATTTGAGGCTTCCTTGGCCACCAGCCATTGCTAGTGATGGAAATGGTTTTCCATGAACACACAGTAGGGATCCCGCAGTCAGTTTGCTGGAGCCCCAGATATTACAGTGTTGGGTGAGGTAGTTCTTCGACTTCATATGCCCAGCCATTGTCTGTCTTGTTCACTGACAGACCAGGCACGGTTGCCTGGCACAAAGGTGCTCAGTGGTTATTTGGGCATCGAATCTGGATGAATGGTCCATCTAGAAGTGCACACAGTGTGCAGGGAGGGCCCACAGAGCTAACTGGTAGAGGACAAGGCCAAGAATTGCTGAAGGCGTGTAGCAGAATCGGATGTCCCAGCTTCTTCCCCACAAGACCACCCTCCCCCATGGCCCACCCTCCCAGGAGAGGTAAGTGCATTCATCAGGGCTCCCACCCGCACCCTGTCCTGGTTCCATAGGTTTACCTCCCCTCGTTGTTAATGGCATCTTTGAGGTCTGTCTCCCCTGCTGTCCCTAAGTGCCATTAGGGCACAGACTGTCTTCCATGGTGTCCTCGTGCCCTGCCAGGGCCTGGCCGAAGCTGCTGCTCATAACAGGCAAAGGAAGGGGTGGATGAGACACTTTGGAATATGGGTCCCAGGGTCTCATAGTTTCCCAAAAAAGACAATCTGCCCTTGGTTATTAAGAAGATAGAAAATGTGCCCAAGGGGGTAAAATTCTATTGATGTTATAAAGTAAGAAAACACCTCACCCTTTAAAGCAGTGGTTCCCCAAACTCATCTGCACGTTAGAATCACCTGAAGATCTTTTCAAAATCCCATAGTCCAGGCCATAACCCAGATAAATTAAATCACAATCACTGGGGGGTGAGACCTGGACATCAGTAGTTTTTGAAGCTTCCCAGGTGATTCCAATGTGCAGACAAGTCTGGGAACCACTTGCTAAATCCTTGGCCAACATCTGTTGAACAAATGAATGAATGAATTTATAAAGCTTCATATCACCAGTAAAGGCTTATGTGCCCCTGTGTGGGTCTCAGTCAGTGACCTTGGCTGCCCATTCACGTTCTTCTCTCTTGACAAAATTAAAGGTGATTTTTAAAAATCTCCTTTATTTTCCAGTAGGAGTTTTCTTGTTTCAGTTTTTATAGCTGGCTGTTTAACTCCTCTAAATAGGAGAGTCTAAAAATCTAAACCATTTTTCAAATAAGCTTCCTTTCCCAATCATTTGAAATGTCACCTTGGTCATGCAATGCCACATTCGTGTCAATCAACACACATTTATTGCACAGTCGCTGTGAGTCGTGATTGACTTGATGGCAACGGGTTTTGGTTTACTGTGTGCCAAGAGCTGCTGGATGCTGGGGAGACAGCAGAGAGCAGAATGACCACAGCATACAAGGAGACAGACAGTGAGCACATACACACATTGTAAACTCCTTGAAAGAAAAGAACAGGAGGGACCTAATTAAAGTTAGGGCTGTTGGGGAAATCGTCTCTCTGAAGAAATGACAGTTGTACCTGTGTATTTGTTTGTCTATTTGTTTAACCTTCCCTCTTCCCCCCACTCCATGAAGACCCAGACTGTTGTTAGCTGTCCTACTGACCGAGACCCCCTGCCTAAAGGGATTAGACTGTTGTGATCTGTAGGGTTTTCATTGGCTGATTTTTGGAAATAGATTGCCAGGCCTTTCTTCCTAGTCTGTCTTAGTCGGGAAGCTTCCCTGACACCTGTTCAGCATCATAGCAACACCCAAGCCTCCATTGACAGATGGGTGGTCGCTGTGCATGAGGTGCACTGGCAGGGAATCAAACCCAGATCTCCCCCACGAAGGGTGAGAATTCTACCACTGAGCCAGACTCCATCTGCATTCTTTGCCCCTTCCTACGTGGGTTCCTTGCAAGGCCCTGCCCAGGAACCCTGGGACAGGCCCGGCTCCCTTCTGCAGCAGCTGCTCATAGTTCTGGGTGTACCGGCTTAGCTGCCACTCCAGCTCCTTAGCATATGCCCTCAGTTCCTCAGCCATCTGGGCCTTTGCACCCTCCTCCAGGTGCTTCCAGTTCTGCAAGAGGCTGTCCATGTCTTGCATAAGTGAGAAGCCAGCCCCAGCAGCACCCATTACCCAGTCGTCCTTGGTCATGGCCAGGGCTGTTCTCTCAAAGGCTTTCTGTGCCTCTCTGCACCTCCAGAAGGGGATTTGGCCCATAGCTAAAAAATTCTTGTCCACATCCCTGAAGCCAGAGATGGCTTTGACCACATCATAGGAATGCAGGTCCTTGATGCTGTTGACAACACACACAACCCAGCAGCTTTGACTTCAGGCAACTGTAGTCCCCCAAAAGCCTCGCACCCAGACGTTGTGATAGGCACCAGTCTGCTGGCTTCTTCTCTTGCTGCTGAATTGCTTCTATTTTCTAAGACATACTTCAGTGCTGGTGACGGTCACTGCTGCCCCAGCCCCAGCCCAGCTGCTGAGACCATCAGACACCCTCCTGCTGTCACAGGTGCTAGGGCCAAACCCATGATGCTCATGACTCCAGGGACAGCCCCCGTGGAGTTGGCCACCAGGCTGGTCTTGGTGAACATCTCATGGGCTGTGTCAGCTTGGTCTTTACTGGTGTGAAGTCTATTGATGGCCTTGTCCAGCTTAAACTTCAACAAGGAAAGAGGTAAGAGGGATGTTTTCTCCTCGCTCAGATTTGCATCTGGCATGGAGACTCCCTCTCATGGCATCAGCTCTTCAAATAACATGTAGTAGAACACATTGGCCTCCACCCTGTTGACAGTCCATATCAAGCAGTTAGTTTTCCACCTCTGGGGCACGTTCACCAGTGAGGCTGCAAGCTTCTAGGTAACCTGAGTCCTCAAATGCATTCAGGAAACACAGCACGGAGATCAGGCACATGTAGGGGGCACTGGGACAAAGGGTTCCCCTGTGTGGACTGGGACCCCTCAGTGGCCGAACATTTATAATAGACCACTGTTCAAGCATCTCTGCATGTCAGGACCTTTTCCAGTCAGCAATGGACCGCTCAAGGTGCCTGGGTAGCACAAACAGTACGTACTCAGCTCTACCCTAAAGGTTGGTGGTTCAACCCAGCAGCACTGCAGAAGAAAGTCCTGCTGATCTGCTTCTGTAAAGATTACAGCCAAGAAAAACCTATGGAGCAGTTCTATTCTGTAACACATTGGGTTGCCAAGAGTCAGACATGACTTCACATCAACAGGTTTGGGTTTGTGTGTGTGTGTATTTTTTTTTAACATGAACCACTCTCACCCAAATGCGGGTGGACACTGATGTGACGAATAAAACATAACTTAAAAACATTACTGACTTTTTTTGTCAAGTGTTTTCTTAATGTATAAACATATACTAACTTAAGTGCAATTCAATTAAGGAAGATGAGAATACTAAGAGTGATGAAGGGGATGTTTTGAAAATTCTTTTTTCTATGTTAAAAATAGATTCACCTGGAAATTGTGTCTGCTTCTGGGGAAGGGATCTGAGGGCTAGGGAAAGGAGTTTGAGGGAAACTTGCTTTTTACAATTTGCTCTTTTGTTCCTTTTACATTTTGCATCATGTGCCTGTATTATAGCTATTTAAAAAATAATAAACTACAATTTCCAAAGAAAAGGCTGGGGAGACCTCCAACGAGACAAGCAAACATCACCCCTTTCATAGGAGAGGGATCATGTGTTGTTCATATGACCAAAAAACAAAACAACCCATTGCCATTGAATCAATTCCAACTCATGGTGACCCCATGCATTACAGAGTAGAACTGCTCCATAGAGTTTTCTTGGCTGTAGTTGGTTAGCAGTCGAGTGCAGACAATTTGTGACACCCTGGGACCCATTCATTTGACAGTGCTGTGTATTTTGAAAACTGAAAATAGAGTTTTAACGAAAGGATAGCCATCCTTAGAAACAGTGGAATCTACTCCACTCATTTGTTAACAGGCAAGTAGAAGCACACAAGTGTTAAGGGTGGCTATGAGCTGGAATTGACTCAATGGCAATGATGTTTTTGCTTTTCTTTGCTTCTAAGTAAATTAATTTGTATAGGATTTGGGGATCCCAAAGCAGATAACATTGGCCTGGGCAAGATGCCACAATCAACTTCCCACAGCATGTAACACAGTGTGACTTGTATGACCCTTGAGTTTGTTCCTGTCTATCTCCTTACTGAGCATCTACAACGGCCTGGCCATAGACTTAAGGGATGGTGGAGAGTGTGCTACAAGAAAGAAGGCAGGGCTTGCGAGCAAAGTATACTGGGACCAGGCAGCCCCAAGTCCCCACAGCAACTGTTGATAATGGCCTTAGGGCCCTCTGCTCTCTGGGCAAGGCCATCAGCCGCCTCAGGTGGACCAGCCTGGCTGACCCCTTCCCAGGGAAGCAAGAGGCGCCTTCTGACATCTTTCCCATATTCAAGTCACTCTTAAAAAAGGCTTAATCAGGGTTTTGTTTGGGCCATTTCTGTGCCTAGGATTTGAACCCCTCCCCAGCTTAAATCTTAGAGCTCTGGGATGTTACAGGTGGAAGCCCATCAAGATTATCTGTCACACAGATGGCAAAGAGGCACAAACTCCCTGTTGTTGTTGACAGGGGCATCTAAAGTATGGCTCGAGAAGAGCCACGATGCTGCATCTAGGATCTTCGAGGAGTGCTGCAATTGACCAGTGATGCTTCATGAAGAGCCAACACACAGGAAGTGGCCACCTGCCCCACTGTTGCCATCAATGAGTCTAACCTTCTCTTTTACAGAGGAAAAACTAGCCCAAGAAGGGAGGTGATTTTCCCTGGATTATAATCCAGTTAGTGATGGAAGTAGGGTAAAAATCTAGGACTCCAGCTTTCCAGAATCCTCTCATCTGCCTCATCTTGTGGTTGAGGCCAACATTCGCCTGTGAAAGGACAAAACATCTCTCTGCCTTCATCCAAAGAAGAAAGATGAACATGCACTGGTACATCTGATGTGTCCCAATTAACTTGAGTCCAAGTAGAGTTCATCGGTCAGCAGTCAATTAAATGACTTACTTTGAGCAATCTCAGGCTTGATGGGTGCTGTGGAGAGGAGTTTAGAGAGTGGTTTTTATCCATTTTCCTATTCTAAGTATTTTATTTAAGTGGGATCATTCAATATTATCCTTTTGTGTTTGACTTATTTCACTTAGCATAATGTTTTCAAGGTGCATCCATGTCATAGCATCTCTCAGAACTTTCTTTCTCTCTATGGCTGAATAGTAAATATTATATGTATATACCACATTTTGTTTATCCATTCATCTGTTGAGGGACACTGGGGTTGTTTCCACCTTTTGGCTATTGTGAATAGTGCTGCAGTGAACGTTGGTGTACAGATTGGCAAGACACTTTGGAAAAATTCGTATTACATATTAAGTCACAAAAGTCTTCTGATAATTATCCAATAGCCCAACAATAGGCACAAAAATGATCGGGACCATATTAGTTGTAAAATTATGAACTTGGAAGCAGGATGCTCATCCTGTCCAGCTCTCTACCCAGCTCTAACATCTGATGGGAACTGTCCAACCTCTGTTTAACCCTTAGAGAGATGAAGAGCTCATTGGTTTTTGTGTGTTTGTTTGAACCTGGCAGGCCATATTGCACAGCAACTTTTGTTTAAATGTTCTTTCATATGCTGCAGATTCTTTTGTTGCTCAAAAATCACTTCAAATGTATTTTTTATATGTTCTTGGTGTTAGGTGCCATCAAGTTGGTTCTAACTCATAGCGACCCCATGTACAACAGAAAAAAAACACTGCCTGGTCCTGCACCATCATCACAACTATTGTTATACTTGAGCCCATTGTTGTAGCCACTGTGTCAATCCATCTTGTTGAGGGTCTTCCTCTATTTTGCTGATCCTCGCCTTATCAAGCATGATGTCCTCCTTCTCCAGGGACTGGTCCCTCCTGATAACATGTCCAAAGTACATGAGATGAAGTCTTGCCATCCTTGGTTCTAAGGAGCCTTCCAAGACAGATTTGTTCATTCTTCTGGCAGTCTATGGTATATTCAATATTCTTCACCAACACCATAATTCAAAGGTGTCAATTCTTTTTCAGTCTTCCTTATTCATTGTCCAACTTTTGCATACAATTATATACAAGTTGACAAAAGACAAACCAGTTGCCATGGAGTAAACTCCAACTCATGGCTACCCCATGTATGTCAGAGTAGAACTGTGCTCCACAGGGTTTTCAATGGCTGCAATCTTTTGGAAGTAGATTGCCAGGGCTTTCTTTTGAGGTGCCTCCAACTGGAGTCAAACCACCAAACATTTGGTTAGTGTCTTTTGATAAAAACCACCCTAATACTACCAGAGCATAACTATCAATTTTATTAATTTACTTCCTGTTATTTTTCAAAAGCATATGCTTTTTCACATGGCTTTTATAATATAATTGTGTGTTCTATTTTTTTATATGAAATATTATGCAGGAGCCCTGGTGGCACAGTGATTAAGAGCTTGGCTGCTAACCAATAGGTCGGCAATTCAACTTGATGGCAACGGGTTTGGTTTGGTTTTTGTTTAATATCATACAAATATTTTCCAAATTGCTATACAGTTGTCATAACTACTATTTTTGAGATTCTATGCCATTTTATCAAGAAGAGACATACCATAATGTTTATTGAAACACTCCCTTATTGGGGGACATTGGGAGTCTTAATTTTTTTTAATAAACTTTATTTTTCAAAATAGTTTTAGGTTTACAAAGAAATTGGGCAGAAAGAGCAAAGAGTTTCCATATACTCGCTCTCCCCCTACCCACAATTTGTTATTATTTACATCTTTCACTAATGTGGTACATTTGTTAAAATTGATGTACTGATATTAATACATTATTATTAAGTGAAGTCCATAGTTTACATTATGGTTCACTCTTCGTGTTGTACAATTCTATGGATTTTGACAAATGCATAATGTCATGTGTCCACCATTACAGTATCATGCACAGTAGTTTCACTGTCCTAAAAATGCCCTGTGCTCCATCTGTTCATCTCCCCCACCAACACTGAATCCCTGGCAACCACTGATCTTTTCAGTGTCTCTGTAGTTTTGCCTTTTCCAGAATATCATTTGGTGAGAATCATACAGTATATAGCTTTTTCAGACTGGCTTCTTTCATTTAGCAACATACATTTAAGAGTCCTCAGAGCTTGGTAGCTCATTGCTTTTTATTGCTGAATAATATTCCATTGTATGAATGTACCAGAGTTTATCCATTCACCTATTGAAGGACATCTTGGTTGCTTCCAATGTTGGGCAATTATGAATAAATATACTATAAACATCCGTAACTTTAAGGACTAAGGTGCACCTGACCCAAGCTATGATGTTTTTCAATCACCTCATATGCATGCAAAAGCTGGACAATGAATAAGGAAGACTGAAGAAGAATTGGCACCTTTGAATTATGGTGTTGGCGAAGAATATTGAATATACCATGGACTGCCAAAAGAACAAATAAATCTGTCTTGAAAGAAGTACAGCCAGAATGCTCCTTAGAGGCAAGAATGGGGAGACTTCATCTCACATACTTTGGACATGTTATCAGGAGGGACCATTTCCTGGAGAAGGACATCATGCTTCTAAAGTAGAGGGTCAGAGAAAGAGAGGAAGACCCTGAATGAGATGGATTGACACCAGTGGCTGCAACAATGAGCTCAAGCATAACATTGATTGTGAGGATGGCGCAGGACTGGGCAGTATTTCATTCTCTTGTACATAGGGTTGCTATGAGTCAGAACCAACTCAATGGCACCAAATAACAACAACAAATATCCGTGTGCAGGTTTTCGTGTGGAGACATGTTTTCAATGCATTTGGGCAAATACCTAGGAGTGTTATTGATGGACTGTATGGCAAGCCTATGTTTAGCTTTGTAAGAAATTGCCAGACTGTCTTCCAAAGTGGCTGTACCATTTTGCATTCCCACTGGCAATGAATGAGAGTTCCTGTTGCCCCACAACCTCACCAGCGTTTCATGTTGTCAGTGTTTTAGATTTTAGCCATTCTAATAGATGTGCAGGTCTCATTGTTTTTATTCTTTATATGAGTCCTTTATATAGCAGCACCAAACTTGTCCTATTTGGTGCCCCACCTTTAACCTGTGATAGAGCCTTGACCACTACTTGGCTCCCATGCCTCCCTTCTGCTTTTTTGCTTCTTGCTGTCCTGCATGTAGTAACTCTCATGCAGGGCTGCGAGCTGCTTACATTTTTAGTTAAACTTTGTGAAGGATGTTGTTTGTTGTTGTTACATTTGTGATTATGGGAAATTGAGAAGGTCTCAGGATATATCTGTCATTAAACTCAAAGCCGTGCTATATTCCTACCCAGCAATATGACATAGCTCTGCAGGGATTCAAGTTTTCCTTTTCTTCTAGATTTATTTTTTACATTTTTTGCTGGCATATCTTTGGTAATTTAAGTTGTTTTGATATTATTATGAATCGTATCTTTTAACATTGCATTTTCTAGTTTGTTCTGTTATTCTATAGAAATATTACCCTTTTTAAAATTCTTCTCTTGTGCTTTACTAAGCATTTAGTAATTGTATAGTGATTGAATGAATAATTCATGAATAAATAATGTTGTTTTTTCTGTTTTTTCAATACTTATTTTTCTTATTTTGGGTCCATGCCTTATTGAGTTAGCTTTAATTTTTTAATTATTTTATTTTATAAGATAGACTCTAGTGTTTCACTGTTAAATGTTGGTATTTGGTTTAGAAAAACCACTCTTCATCATGATAAGGCAATATGCTTTATTCTCATATTTAAATATTTCTATTAGAATTAGCTCCCACATGTCTGTCAGTTTGTCATATGGTGCCAGCTTTCATGTTGCTGTGATGCTGGAAGCAATGCCACTGGTATTCAGATACCAGCAGGGTCACCCATGGCAGACAGGTTTCAGCTGGGCTTCCAGACTAAGACAAACTGGGAAGAAGGACCCACCAGTCTACTTCTGAAAAGAATTAACCCAGTGAGGGGTCTTAAAAGCCTGTGAGCAGCCATCTAAGATACTCCACTGGTCTCACCCCTTTGGCAGCAAGGGAGAATGAAGAAAACAAGATACAAGGGAAAGATTAGTCCAAAGAACTAAAGGACCACAACCACCATGGCCTCCACCAGAGTGAGTCCAGTACAACTAGATGGTGCCCAGCTACCACCACTAACTGCTCTGACAGAGATCACAACAGAGGGTACTGGACAGAGCTGGAGAAAAATGTGGAATAAAATTCTAACTCACAAAA